TTTGACATGTGGCAGGAGGAGCCGGGGATCGAACCAACAACCTTCCAATAAGGAGACGACCTGCTCTGCCTCTGCACCACGTAGTATGGTCTAGACCTGCTCTATTTGAAAAGTGAGACAACTTTTGTTATGAATTGGTGCTATATATATAAAACAAAATTGATTTGAACTAAAATAAACATGGAATATTGGGGAACTAAAATGAGCACTGAGCTTTTGGGAACTAAAGCTAGCGTTGAGCATTGGGGATATAAAATGAGTGTGGACTGTTGGGGAACTAAAATGAGTGTTGAGTTTTGGGGAACTAAGTTACCTGGTTGGTGAAGTACAGCTGGTAGGCGTGGTCGACCAATCGGCTCCTGAACCTGAGGGTCAGCTGACCTTCCAGGAATCGGATGGCGCTGTTGATGAAAGTTGCAGGAACTGCAACGAGGAGCCACTTAGAGAGCTGCAGCACGAAGGCCTGAGGATCCTTTTGAACAATACACTTCACTATCACACCTGGAACGATCAATACCATTGATTATTGATCACCTTCTTCGGCATACTGGACGTAACACATTTAATGGGGGAGTGTACAACAACTAAAACCCTACAAAGGGATAGGCAGACAGACAGACAGACAGACAGACAGACAGACAGACCGTCCAGAGCAGCAACGTAGATAGACAGGAAGGTCCGGGACATCAGGGTGAGCGAGTGCAGAGCCAGCAGGCCGACCTCTGGACACAGTAACCGTGGAAACAACAGCTTCAACAGACGAGACAGTCTGAGAACAAAGTCTCTGTTTACTGACGGAGACCTGAGGACACAGAGGGACAGGGTTCATCCTGATCCTATTGGATCTGCAAGACCAGGAATCTGGATCACAAAGCCACAGTAACAGTTAATCCAGCTCCCTTTGGGTTTAACTTTATCTCGGGTTTAAATCAGGTTTAGATCAGGTTTATCTCAGGTTTATATCAGGTTTAAATCAGGTTTATCTCGGGTTTATGTCAGGTTTAAATCAGATTTAAATTAGGTTTTTTCTCAGGTTCAAATCAGATTTATCTCAGGTTTACCTCGGGTTTAAATCAGGTTTATCTCAGGTTTAAATCAGGTTTATCTTAAGTTTATCTCAGGTTTATCTCGGGTTTATCTTAGGTTTAAATCAAGTTTATCTCAGGCTCATCTCGGGTTAAAAATACTTCCGGCGCCGGCGCGAGCAGGATGCTTATTCAGTAGCTCCGTACGTGTTGTGTATTTTTAAACTTTTAACTCAGTAGATTACACTAGCCGTGTATAACTTTATATATCCTATGGATACAATGACTTTTTACGGACAACATAGCGGTGGACATCTTGTTTATTCAAGGGAGAGGCTTTGCTTCACTAACAAACAATGCGACGTGCGCGGCATTCCACCCATACCTGAAGGAGCTGAGGAGGAGGCGCGAGGGCGCAGAGCGAGCGGAAGGTGAAGGCTAGGCTAAGCGGCTAGAGCGGGTGGAAGAACAAGCCTCGGTCCGTCGATGATAATGGAAGGTGTGGAACTGTCTGACCAACCAAGGGGACGACGAGCTGGGCTTGCCCTTGTGCAGGACGGGGAACAAGCACGGTTCAGGAGTGCAGTGTAGCTTGCTGCCTCTCTGAAAGCCTGGCGTAAAACCCAAAACACCCCGGACCTAATGTGGATCTACTGGATTCACTAACATGAGAGCGGACCGGAACTGTGGAGCGGCAGCGGCAAAAGCAAGAGCGAGGGGACTGTACATGATTATCCAGACCAGATTCAGATTGTGCAACCAGGGCAGTGTTACGTGAAGGACGAAACCATGAAGATTGTTAGGTCCAACAGAACATTCGATGTTGCTCCCTGATCCATCGGTAGAGTCTCAGTCACTCGTACCCTTACATAGCCCTAGAGGATTTCACGCCATTGCTTGTTGTTGTTTACGTACCGCCCATCCGCGGGGCGCACGGCAGAAAGACCGGCAGGTGAATGTAATCCACAATTCCACCATCGCAAGAACTGAATCACACAAGCACGCCAGACACACTTCATCGCCAACATCTCTTGTGGACTATTTAAACCAACTACACACACTAGAACTAACCACACTGCCAGACTTTCACCTAGGTTTGGTAAGCTGCCCCAACCCACCAGGTAAGAGACAGGACATTAGACCTGCCGGAGTGCCACACGTTAAATGGATACGATACAGAGCTGGCCGATTCTTGCCCACTAAGAAAAGTCTGGTGAACCATTATAGCCTGTCCTGGCTCAACGCGCCACCGTTAACAAGACCACAAATCCCAATGAGACACCCGACCGACCAAACAACATCAACTTCCAAAAAGAAATCAGGTCTCCCTCGAGGCAAGCGGAACCTGCCAGAAACGAGGCTCTGAGGACCTTTGGGAATATGTTACACTGACTGGAGGTCCCTGCAGACCTAGCAACCGAGAGTGGTGAGACATCGGACGCTCACCACATTGCGAGGCTACTGGAGCTACCTGAACTGCCTGCGGCGCCATG